CTCTCCTCTATTCTTACTTTTTTATAATCTTTTTTGAATCAAAACCCAGATTGCAGTGTGCTGATTTCTCAATGCAATGTCAACTATTCATCTACAGGAAGGAAATCTACAATGGACCTGATGTGGTATTTACAATTGACCTAATTAATGCTTGATTGTTGGTAAGTGTTATTAATATTGTGCATTTAATATATTGTTCATTTACAGTCGATTTAGAAAATTTATGATTCTTTCATTTGTCATCAATCTATCATTGTAATGAATGTAAAATCTTCCATAATTGATTTTTAGAACTGAATTGGCTTCAGTAGGTATGAATGTGTTATCAAAAAAATTGGTATTCAATGCATGCGGCAGCCAAATCGGGGTTGGAAACGAAAAAATGAAAAAATGCATAAAGGAGCCGGCTCCACCCAAAGTGGAGCCGCCTCCATTACCAAGTAGAGCCGGCTCTACTACAAAGTAGAGCCTGCTCCACTTTGTAATTGAGCCTGCTCTATTTAGAGAAGGCTCTGAATCACCTAGAGCAGGCTCCAATAAATATTGGAGCCTGCTTTAGGTGATTTTTTAGACATTTCAGAGGTTAATATTTGATATTTATGAAAAAAAAAAAATTGCGAAGTTTAACAAATAGGAACTCTGATCACCTTCACCATCAAAATAAGCTATTGACACAGTTCTGTAAAACTAATTTCACACCTCTGTAAAACTAATTTGACACCCAAATTTAACATTTTTTAATTCTTTCATTTGTCATCTGTTAGTGTAAATTATGATATTTTTCTACTTGAAATTGACATTGGTTAAGCATTCTAGCATATTTGAAATGTTGGATAATTGTAGGATTTTTTTCTATAATCTTCTCTAGTGAATGTAAAATCTTACATAATTGTTTTTTTTTAACTGAGTTGGCTTCATTAGGTACCAATTTGTTATCCAAATATTTTTTTCTTCTCATGTATGCGGTAATTACACATTTCACAGGTTATTATGTGACATTTATGAGAAAAAATACATTGTGAAATTTAATAAGTAGGGACACTGATTACCTTCACCATCAAAATAAGCTATTTACATAGTTCTACTAAACTAATTTCACACCTCTGCAAAACTAACATCACATCTAAATTTAACATTTTTTAATTCTTTCATTTGTCATCCGTTAGTGTAAATTATGATTTTTTTTTTTACTTGAAATTGACATTGGTTAAGCATTATAGCGTATTTGAAATCTTGGATAATTGTAAGATTTTCTTCAATAACCATTCTAGTGAATGTAAAATCTTCCGTAATTGTTTTTTTTTTTTAACTGAGTTGGCTTCATTACGTACCAATGTGTTATCCAAATATTCTGTCTTCTCATGTATGCGGCAATTACACATTTCACAGGTTATTATGTCACATTTTTGAGAAAAAATACATTGTGAAGTTTAATAAGTAGGGACACTGATCACCTTCACCATCAAAATAAGCTATTCACACAGTTCTACAAAACTAATTTCACACCTCTGCAAAACTAATTTCACACCTAAATTTAACATTTTTTAATTCTTTCATTTGTCATCCGTTAGTGTAAATTATAATATTTATTTACTTGAAATTGACATTGGTTAAGCATTATAGTGTATTTGAAATATTGGATAATTGTAGGATTTTCTTCTATAATCTTCAATAAGCATTCTAGTGAATGTAAAATCTTCCATAATTATTTTTTTTTAACTGAGTTGGCTTCATTAGGTACCAATGTGTTATCCAAATATTTTGTCTTCTCATGTATGCGGCAATTACGCATTTCACATGTTATTATGCGATATTTATGAGGAAAAAAACATTGTGAAGTTTAATAAGTAAGGACACGGATCACCTTCACCATCAAAATAGGCTATTCACACAGTTCTGTAAACTAATTTCACACCTAAATTTAACATTTTTTAATTCTTTCATTTGTCATCTGTTAGTGTAAATTATGATATTTTTTTACATGAAATTGACATTAGTTAAGCATTCTAGAGTATTTAAAATCTTCGATAATTGTAGAATTTTCTTCTATAATCTTCAATAACCATTTTAGTGAATGTAAAATCTTGCATAATTGTTTTTTTTTTTAACTGAGTTGGCTTCATTAGGTACCAATGTGTTATCCAAATATTTTGTCTTCTCATGTATGGGGCAATTACACATTTCGCAGGTTATTATGTCACATTTGTGAGAAAAAATACATTGTGAAGTTTAATAAGTAGGGACACTGATCACCTTCACCATCAAAATAAACTATTTACACAGCTCTGCAAAACTAATTTCACACCTAAATTTAACATTTTTTAATTCTTTCATTTGTCATCCGTTAGTGTAAATTATGAATTTTTTTTCTTGAAATTGACATTAGTTAAGCATTCTAGCGTATTTGAAATCTTGGTTAATTGTAGGATTTTCTTCTATAATCTTCAATAACCATTGTAGTGAATGTAAAATCTTCCATAATTGTTTTTTTTTAACTGAGTTGGCTTAATTAGATACCAATGTGGTATCCAAATATTTTGTCTTTTCATGTATGCGGCAATTACACATTTCACATGTTATTATGTCACATTTATGAGAAAAAATACATTGTGAAGTTTAATAAGTAGGGACACTGATCACCTTCACCATCAAAATAAGCTATTCACACAGTTCTGTAAAACTAATTTCATACCTCTGCAAAACTAATTTCACACCTAAATTTAACATTTTTTAATTCTTTCATTTGTCATCCGTTAGTGTAAATTATGATTCTTTTTACTTGAAATTGGCATTGGTTAAGCATTCTAGCGTATTTGAAATCTTGGATAATTCTAGGATTTTCTTCTATAATCTTCAATAACCATTCTAGTGAATGTAAAATCTTCAATAATTGTTTTTTTTTTTAACTGAGTTGGCTTCATTAGATACCAATGCGTTATCCAAATATTTTGTCTTCTCATGTATGCGGCATTTACACATTTCACAGGTTATTATGTCACATTTATGAGAAAAAATACATTGTGAAGTTTAATAAGTAGGGACACTGATCACCTTCACCATCAAAATAAGTTATTCATACAGTTCTGTAAAACTAATTTCATACCTTTGCAAAACTAATTTCACACCTAAATTTAACATTTTTTAATTCTTTCATTTGTCATCCGTTAGTGTAAATTATGATTCTTTTTACTTCAAATTGACATTGGTTAAGCATTCTAGCGTATTTGAAATCTTGGATAATTATAGGATTTTCTTCTATAATCTTCAATAACCATTCTAGTGAATGTAAAATCTTCCATAATTATTTTTTTTTTTAACTGAGTTGGCTTCATTAGATACCAATGCGTTATCCAAATATTTTGTCTTCTCATGTATGCGGCAATTACATATTTCATAGGTTATTATGTCACATTTATGAGAAAAAATGCATTATGAAGTTTAATAAGTAGGGACTCTGATCACCTTCACCATCAAAATAAGCTATTCACACAGTTCTACAAAACTAATTTCACACCTTTGCCAAACTAATTTCACGCCTAAATTTAACATTTTTTAATTCTTTCATTTGTCATCCGTTAGTGTAAATTATGATTTTTTTTACTTGAAATTGGCATTGGTTAAGCATTCTAGCTTATTTGAAATTTTGGATAATTCTTGGATTTTCTTCTATAATCTTCAATAACCATTCTAGTGAATGTAAAATCTTCCATAATTGTTTTTTTTTTAACTGAGTTGGCTTCATTAGATACCAATGCGTTATCCAAATATTTTGTCTTCTCATGTATGTGGCAATTACACATTTCACAGGTTATTATGTCACATTTATGAGAAAAAATACATTGTGAAGTTTAATAAGTAGGGACACTGATCACCTTCACCATCAAAATAAGCTATTCACACAGTTCTGTAAAACTAATTTCACACCTCTGCAAAACTAATTTCACACTTAAATTTAACATTTTTTAATTCTTTCATTTGTCATCCATTAGTGTAAATTATGATTCTTTTTACTTCAAATTGGCATTGGTTAAGCATTCTAGCGTATTTGAAATCTTGGATAATTATAGTATTTTCTTCTATAATCTTCAATAACCAGTCTAGTGAATGTAAAATCTTCCATAATTGTTTTTTTTTTTAACTGAGTTGGTTTCATTAGATACCAATGCGTTATCCAAATATTTTGTTTTCTCATGTATGCGGCAATTACACATTTCACAGGTTATTATGTCACATTTATGAGAAAAAATGAATTATGAAGTTTAATAAGTAGGGACTCTGATCACCTTCACCATCAAAATAAGCTATTGACACAGTTCTGCAAAACTAATTTCACACCTTTGCCAAACTAATTTCACGCCTAATTTAACATTTTTTAATTCTTTCATTTGTCATCCGTTAGTGTAAATTATGATTTTTTTTTACTTCAAATTGACATTAGTTAAGCATTCTAGAGTATTTGAAATCTTGGTTAATTGTAGGATTTTCTTCTATAATCTTCAATAACCATTCTAGTGAATGTAAAATCTTCCCTAATTATTTTTTTTTTAACTGAGTTGGCTTCATTAGATACCAATGTGTTATCCAAATATTTTGTCTTCTCATGTATGCGGCAATTACACATTTCACAGGTTATTATGTCACATTTATGAGAAAAAATACATTGTGAAGTTTAATAAATAGGGACACTGATCACCTTCACCATCAAAATAAGTAATTAACACAGTTTTGCAAACTAATTTCACACCTCTGCAAAACTAATTTCACACCTAAAGTTAAATTTTTTTAATTCTTTCATTTGTCATCAGTTCGTTTAAATTATGGTATTTTTTTTACTTGAAATTGACTTTGGTTAAGCATTCTAGTGTATCTGAAATCTTGGATAATTGTACGATTTTTTAGCTCTTTTCATTAGTTCGGTAAATATTTAGTATATATATATTTTTTGTCACAAGTTATAGAAACTGACTTTAACGTTTTGATGGACCTTTTGCTTGTTGTAGCATTCATACTGAAGTTATCCCAATGGATAATGACTTAAGTATTAATGATGTGAGAACAAGCGTTCCAATCGTTGCCGAAATCAATATTTCTGAAAACTTAGTAGCAGAAGTTGTCAATCCCATTGACATAGAATTCACACCAAAATTGAACATGCAGTTTGACACTGAGGATGATGCATACGACTTTTATAATGCTTATGGGGGTAATGTTGGATTCAGTATTCGTAAGGATTATGCAAATAAAAGCCGTAAGACAGGAAATATTACAACAAGCAAGTTTGTGTGTTCCAAACAAGGTTTTAGGGTGAAGGACAAGAGGGATATCCATACAAGAAAGCCCAGGGCGGAAACTCGAACCGGTTGTGGTGCACTGATGCAAATTAGATATGACCGCAAGAAGGGAAAGTATGTTGTATATAATTTTGTCGAATCTCACAATCATCCTATGATAATTGAAGAATGCACACATATGATGCCATCACAACGAAGAATAAGTGTTGCCCAAGCAATTGATGTGGAATTGGCCTGCCAATCTGGAGTTCCACTCGGTAATGCATTCGAGTTAATGAGCAGGCAGGCTGGTGGGAGGCAATCAATTGGCTACACCAAAATTGATCAACAAAATTTTCTAAGGACAAGAAGACAGAGTGAGTTAGAATACGGAGAGAAGACATGGCTGATGAATTATTTCAAAATTCAATCTTGTGAGAATCCTTCATTTTTTCACACCGTGCAATTGGATAGCGATGAAATGATAACTAATATCTTCTGGGCAGATTCGAGAATGATAATTGACTATGGGCATTTTGGAGACATCATCACATTCGATACGATATACAAGCTCGTCCAAAGCAATCGTCCTTTTGTGGCTTTTCTTGGTTTGAATCATCATCGGGAGACTGCTGTCTTTGGACTAGCATTGATGTATGACGAGACTGCCAATTCCTTTGCGTGGCTGTTTGATTCATTCTTGAATGCAATGTCAGGTAAGTAGTCTAAATGTAAATTTTTTTTTTTTTTTTTTTTTTTGCAATTATTAAAGGCTGAAGTTGATCATGCCCTTTTAATAAAAATCAGAATCATACTGAAAAAGTATATATATATATATATATATAAAAGGAAGGGTTAAAAAATGGCATGATCAACTTCAGCCTTTAATAATTGAACATGGCCATTCTTTTTTACCTTTTTTATGTGAATTACTTTTTCAAATGAAGATATTTTATTGGGCCATAATGTTCTTGCCTTCAAATTTTCAATCCTGTTAAAAATTTTAGTGATGATGTATGATAAGATTGCCTATTCATTTACATGCCTTTTTTTTTATATTCTTGAATGTGATGTTAGGTAAAGCACCACAAACGATTCTTACTGACCAAGATGGTGCAATGGCAAAGGCGTTGGCACAAGTTATGCCGAGGACAAGACATTTACTTTGCACGTGGCACATCATGGCAAATGCACAGAAGCATGTAGGCACCATTTTTAGGAATGATGAAGGGATTAAAAGTGTGCTGAGTCAATTCATGTACTGTTATGATGATAAGGATGATTTTTGTATACAATGGGATGTAATGTTAAGGGACTACAATGTTGTTGGTAACACATGGTTGAACAATTTGTTTGGTTTAAGAGAAAAATGGGGTTATCCATTTGTTAAACATTGGTTTACCGCTGGAATGCGGACAACGCAGCTGAGTGAAAGTTTAAATAGCTGCTTGAAAGAGTACTTAACCAGGAAAATGAGTATTCCAGATTTCTTCATGCACCTTGACAGGCTATTGTCAGACAAACTGTACAAGGAATATCAAGCTGAGTATGGTTTACTCAGTAAACTACCTAGACTTAAACAAAATTGTCCCATTCTAAAACAAGTGGGCAATATGTACACATTGAAGATTTTTGAACTTTTCCAGGACCAATTCATAGAAGCTTCTGTGGTTGGTACCGTGGAAGGAACAAGTTTTGATGAAAATGGATTACGTGTTTCTAGAGTATCTGTTCATGATGGCAGTATGGATCAGACTGTGACAAGGTGGGATGATGGCTTTCTAACTTGTTCGTGTGGGAAATATGCAATGGAAGGTATTTTGTGCAGCCATGTACTTAAAGTACTGAAAGACGACACTCAGTATTTCAAAGAATTACCTTCTATGTATATACTAAAAAGGTGGATGAGAAAAGCTAGGGATAACAGCGTACAAGACATCCGTGGATGTGAAGTTATTGTTGATCCTAAACTTGAAGTACGCAGAAGGTATAGGATGTTATGTCGTTTTTTTACAGAAATCAGCTCATTTGCATCCGAGAAAGAAGATGTATTCAATAATTTGATGCTAAAGGGGATGAAATGGAAAAGGAAACACATTAATGTTGAAAGGCAATGTTTCGATGTTGAACAAGAGGCAACCAATGAAGCTTTTTCAACTGAAAGAAATAATAATCATGAACATAATGAAAGTATCATTGGGGAAGCCATGACCGGAAGTAATGCCAAGGGTATAAAGAATAAAGAAACAGGTGGTAAGGGACCAAGGCGCAGGAAGAAGAATAAGTTTGAACAATACATGCAGAGAAAAAAAAACTATGCGAAACGAAAGGTTAATTTAATTTATTTTTCTATTATTTGATAATTTAATTTTTCAGTATATGTCATTAACATTTTGATATTAGCAATGTCATAATTTTGTTTTTACAATGAATAAATCTATTATTTTGTAGAAATCAAATGGCAACAACAGTGTTAGTGCAGGTGTAAGTGGCAGTAGTACCGTGCCACCTATTACATATGTACATATGAATGTGAGTTTTCTCCTTTTCTTAAATGAAAACATTGATTTTTTATTTTTTATATATTATTATAATTTTCAGTATGATAATCTCTTAATTAAGAATGTTTATATTGAAATAAGGGTTGTGACATTCCTAGCGACGCCACTTGGATTTACGAAGATCATCACCCATGTGCATGTTTACATTCGGAAACAAATATCAACCAAATGACATATTGCCCTACCACTAACTTCAGTCATCCCAGGACTCCACCAACTGAACAGGTTTAAACAAACTTTTTTTCTGAACTAGGTATATAAAAATTAATGAACATTATTTCATACTTTTGAAATCCATTAGTTAATGAACATTGACAATATATTGGCAGGGGACTCCATTTGTTTCGTATCATGAATGCCGATTCTCAGATTATCTTGTAAGTTTATCTCTTATAAAATTTATGCTTCTGCAATATATTCTAAACATGTATGTTTTAACTTTGCATTAATTAACGTATGTACAAACATTGTTTTTGTATGATCCATTTTAAGGATGTTGATCACACCAGTGGTGACCGTAATTTGATGCCAATGTCGGAGGAGACAACATCCGAGATTAATCCTCCAGCTCGGCAAAATTTGTTTTGAGTTAAGAAATTCATGACAAATTGTTGGTGTATAGGTATACTATGGTTGATGGATGATAACAGAATATGGTGGCATAAAAAATATATCCATTTTTGAGTAAAGATTTGTAAATGTATGGATAACTTGTTCACTTTTGTTTTTTGGGTTTTGTATATATGGAAAATAAAATGGATTTTTATTCAGGCCTATTTATGTCAATTGAAATATGTATGTGCACATATATTGTTTAGTCCATTTTGTTTGTGATTTGGGACAGGTTGAAACCATTAATTTCAAGGTGACATGGTTCCGTGAATGGCATTTGGCTATTTTCTCCAATGATGGCGATACTTAATTGCCTCTTGCATATGGCGATTTTATATTAGACAGTGTTAATTAGATTATCCATCCCAAAAGTTCCATTTTGTTACTTCAAAAGTTAAATACAACATCACACTACATACGTCACAATACATACATACACATATATCACATTACATACAGAAAACAACATCAACGGTTATCATCAGTTGACTATGACTTTTTCTCCAATGATGCCAGACACCATCAATATGTGGAGATCACAATGGCAAAGATTACATTTTATTTTCTCCTCATTTATTCGCTCGACCATCCACCATTTGACGTGAACCATGTCACCTTCATAGTTCGGTGGTCCATAATCTTCCTTACAACAAGCAGGAATGTTATGAAATAACCCATTTGACCACCCTCTTTTCACTATTGAAATCATTTGTTCCCTCCGATGTTTTATGATCAGTTTATTTGTTATGTCTGTGTTCATGTTCGAAGTTGTTGAATACCATTTACTTTATCAGCATCATTGCCATATATTAATGCAATGGCTAAAGCAAACTTACAACCAGTATGCTGAAGATATGCACCTTTGGTTAGAATACTTAGGCCATCTGCCCGATTTTGATGCAAGAAAAATAGCTCCTACATCCAACATAAAGTTATTAAAAATAAACCCGATTAAATTACTTTCACAATTTAGTAAAGTGAGTGCAAGCAACGTACCACTCCGGAGACAAACATAGCCTCCAAATTGCCATTATCAACACACTTTTGCATGAACATGCATCGCAAATAGTAAGTATCACTGGTAACCCCCGTTTGTATTTCGTACAAGGATTTAAAACTGAGAAGTCGTAACATATGTGGCTCCAAACACACCATAGCTAGCTTATGAGAACTGCACATATTTAAACACTTTTAACAAAAAAATTCGTGAATGAAAAAAATATTATAAACATAAAACAATAATGTACAATTAAATCCTTACCATTGTTGAAGTTGTAGTAGGTCTTGAAAATTATTTGCTGCCACTCTACTAACCACCTCACTGAGCAACGGCGGTGGGAGTTCTTCTATTTTCATTTTCTGAGCCAACTTGTTTTGTGTATGCTGGTTACCTTTTGGGGGAAGGTTAACCATTGGTTTACCAGAAAGGGAAGAACTTATGGTGGATATATAGTCAATGTGCATAGCCAATTAATGTGGTAGGTTAGGATTAGTTGAACACGAAATTGTGTAATAACTCACAACATTAGCTGTAAATGTATAATTAAATGCACTGCTTGTTTGACATGACTAAGTATATCTACAACAGCAAACTTATATAGAGATATTTGGTTGAACCGGCAAATCTCTTCTAAGTACATTCACCATCTCAACTATGTATTCACATCCTGTTATTTAAGTAATAGCACATATGAAATTATCTGAATTCACCATACTGTTTTTCTGATTTGAAGTGAATATAGATAAAATAATATGTGTGTGTGTGGGCACGTGTGTGTATATTAATAAGAAAGCATAAAAAAATATTAAAACTCCTTAAAAAAAATACAATCTTCACCTTCATAATTAAGTATTCACACCCTGCTGTATAAGTAATATCACATACAAAACTATATGAATTACCCAAACCCTAGAAGGAGCCGGTTCTTGTAAACAAGAGGAAGCGGCTCCCTAGCCTTGAGAGCCGGCTCTCCTTTTTGGGAGCCTGCTCTTTGGATGGAAACTTCATTTCGTTGAAAAATGCTTTTAGAGCCGTCTCTAATTAAAATGGAGCCTGCTCTAATTTTCTGAGCCTTCTCTACAAATCTAGAGCCTTCTCTACTTTCCCTTGAACCTTCTCTAATTTTTGTAGAGCCTTCTCTACTTTCAGTAGGAGGCTTAAAATGAATTCCAGTATGATGTAAGGCTCATATGAATGTGTTTAAAAAGCTAATGAGCTAATTTTATGTTCTTTGAGAGATGAGATGAGAATGATATGCATGAATTGTAATTTTGAGCTTCGAATCCTATCAATATGCATCTATCAAGATACTTAAAAAAGCAATAGAATAGCACTAGAATAGCACATTAGCATGATAACACATCTTTCTCCCCCTTTGTCATCTCAAAAAAAATGGGAGACTAAATGAATAGATAAAGAAAAATAACTTGCCATTTCAGGAAATATCAGAGAAGAATGAATTAAAGGGCAAAAGATAAGCAAATATGGCAATTTATAGATAACATAAAGAGAACGTGAACACGAGTACCATATGACAGATAAAGGCACAGTTTATAAAACACAGAAAAATGCTTCTCTAAAGCAAATAAAGCTAATAAGTGCACACAAAAGAGGGTTTGAAATGGAGAAAAACTGTTCTAAGGAGAAGAAGGTCCATATTGGTTTTGAAATTCTGTAAAATCGTCATTAAGATGAGCAATTGCCATGTGCATTTCGTCAAGTTGAGTTTGTTGTTTCTCAAGAGTGGCTTGGTTTTAACGAGTCCCTTTGAGAATTTTCAACAAGAGAGCACGATTGGTACGATTTTCAACTGGAACTTCCTCATTTTCATCATCGTCATCACTTTCATGGTCGTCTTCATCCCCATCATCAACATCCTCAATCTCTTCTCCTCTAGCTCGAGCCTCTTCCAACCTTCGTTGCCTAGGATAAAACCACACATTATTGTAATCCCTTTTTAGCCCCATTGACGCAAGATTGGAGGCAGTGAGAATGTGTCTTGGCCCTGGTTTGACTGCTTCACGACTATCAAGCGGAACCTTCTTAGCCATAAATATGTGAGAGAGAACCATGGGATAATAAAGAGAGACTTCTTTCTTTTGCATGTAAGAAGGTGATGAAATATAATGTATGCAAGATCAAAGTGCTTGCCATTTAAGACACACCAGATAAGAAAGACGTCCATGTGGGAAACTTTGGATCGACTGCCAGATTTGGGAAGAATAGAATACATGATGATCTTGTGAATCAGCTGAGCTTCCATAGTTAATTTTTTGGTGTTGACTTCTCTGGTATTTGTTACATTTGAATCATAACTCATTTGCCGAATAGCCGCGAGTTTATCAAAGCCTTGTCCTTCAAACCAGTTGAAATGAGAATAGAATTGAATTCCATCCACAGAGGGAAGATGAAGGATTCGAGCAATGCTGTTTGTATCAAGGTGAAAATATATTCCAGCCACATAGCAGTTAAGTTTTTCTTGTCTGGGCATTTCTTCAAGATGAGTGTAGAATAACTTTACTAATTTTGGATAGTAACCTTCATTCATTCCAACAAATGATCCAAGGCCAATTGCATCAAACAATCTATACGTGTTGAGATGAAGATCATTGCAAATTGTGTCAGACAACACCATTGCTGTGGCCACTTTTCTATGCTGAAAGAATTTGTCATATATGCTTTTGTATGTGGGGTTTTTATATAGCATGGTGGCAGAGATTTGAAGTGGAGGAGGATTTGGTTCACTAGGGCCTGATTCATCATTATGTTGAGTAGACCGTTTTTGTCCACGAGAGGGATTCTTTCTACGTGAGGATGAAGCCTTGGACATTTCGAGAAATTAAACTGAAATTACAGAGGAATTCTCTGAATAAAAATCCAATTTAAAAGGCAAGGAAAAAATTCAATCTCAAATAAGTGTAGACAGAAGATTAACAGTAAAACAAATTGAATCAATGGAAAGGCCCAGTCAAAGTTGCACATTTAGTTAGAATTTTGAGGGAAAAATAATTTATCTAGACATGAAGAACCAAAATGGAGGCATACTAGAGGATTCAAATTTAAACTGAAATGGAAGCATATGGAATTTTAACAGGACAGTGCATGGAACAGTCCTAAAATGCGAAATTGATAAACAAAAAAAAATTTATATAACATGCTCTAGGGATTGAGATATATATAAATTCATCCTAAGAGTAGGAATTCAACATAATTGTGAAATGTACTACTCAAATGAACCAAAGTCATCACAAGTATTCAAAAATAAATTTAGATAATAAAACACAAAAACAAACAAAAATATTTGCCAAACTAATTTTTTTTTTTTTTTTGACAAAATTTATGCAAGAACACAAGATTTGATCAAAATATGATGGATCAACAAATTGATTAAAGGATAAATGGAAGTTTGTGCATAAATTTGGAATTTGCAGACCATAGACTAAGCAATTCTTGCTAGAATAAGTCTTTTACATGTGAAAGAAAAAGGCTACATTGCAATCAAGGGTCTCATGGAATGATGAAATCAAAGGAGTAAATTAAAAATTAATTACTGAACATTCAATAAACAAGTAATGAATTTATGAAATGTAGAAAAAAATAGATGAAAACTTACTTGCTTGAAGAGACTAGAGGAGAATGAAGAAAGCCCTAGCCGAGATGCTCTCTGGAAGTGAATGAAATTATGCCCAACAGTGAGTAAATGATATACAACAGAGAGCAATTCGAAAGGCCATATTAAGGAGATGGAGCCGGCTCTTGGGATTTAATGGAGCCGGCTCTTGAAGTTCAATGGAGCCGGCTCTAATTTGTTGAGCCGGCTCTTTGAGTTGGCAGCCGGCTCATAATAAATATGGAGCCGGCTCTCAGAATTTTTAGAGCCGGCTCCTTGCCAAGCAAAAAAAATAATAATAATAAATGAAAAAAAAATAATGGACAGTCGGCTCAAGAAGAAATGTGGAGACGGCTCAACCCAATT